ATCCACAATGATTAACTAGCTCGTTTAAGAATTTCAATACAGAGGGCACCTGCAAGTTATCAAAATTCAACTAGTTTCAAATTCCTAAAAAAAAGTTGAAAGGGAGTGTTGGCGCCCGCAGGCAATTGCATTTTAGAAAGCCAAAAAAAAATTTAGAAAAAATTATACAGTAGGCAAACATATCAATGAGTTCAAACTACAATCTTCAGATTCATAAACAGAAAAAACAATCCACAATGATTATCTAGCTAGTTTAAGAATTTCAATACAGAGGGCACCTGCAAGTTATCAAAATTCAACTTGTCTCAAATTCCTAAAAAAAAATTGAAGGGGAATGTTGGCACCCGCAGGCGATTGCATTTTAGAAAACCAAAAAAAAATTAGAAAAAATTATACGATATTAAGGCATATTGAAGAGTTCAAAATAAAATGTCCAAAATCTTAAACAGATACAGAGGGCACCTGCTTGTTAACAATACCTATTCAAGTAAATAATAAAGGTAAAGTCAATATGATGAATCAGCGGATATTATATAATGCAATTTTTCATATCAAAGAGTTCCTTGTTAAGGAACAAACGTTTCATTGAAGTTTGATATGACAATAAATCAAAATAGTTAATGATTTTGAATTTGAATTATAATAATATGATATTGATATGGGTATTATTTAAATTACTATTTTTGTTTATTAATTTAACTATTGATTAAGATGGTGAATAGATATCTGCAGAAGTACAAGTATATTTTTATAAAAGCTTATTGTATTTTATGAACCATTACATAAAAATGTGATTATTGGAGTTTAGGTAACATAAAGGTATACTCAGTTAATTCATCAAATTTACAGTATCGACTATAATACCAACTAGGTACCTAGATTCTAAAATTCCAAGTCTATCATTTTCTCCGAATACTGCTGAATAAGAAATTGTAATAATAATGAATAATGATATATGCTAATTTTAAATTTATCGGATATATTTTAGATTTTAGATTCTGAGCGGATCGATGACTGAATTAATTTTACAACGATGTGTTCTTCAATTTTTAAATTATTAAAATGATTTTTCTTGTGGTCTGTGTGAACGATAAGTATTCATAATAATAATCAATTTATCTGGAATCAATTTTCATATATAATATTATATTATAGGCACTCAGAATGTAATCATATATTTATTTTTAGTTTAGTTGTAGGTATTTAGTAAATAATAATAGGTATACGAAATTGTGTTTTCGAATAATAATTTATTGTTTGCATTAGTACCTACACCATAACAGGGAACTAAAATGTTGTAGGTACCTACAATTTTTATTTGGTAGGTGTGGTGTATAAATGATTTACAAATGTAGTTTTGATGTTTAAAGGATGTTGTAAGATCAATTTATGAGGTCCTTGCTTTAATTGTTAGGATTTTTGTATACGAATAATTATTTTATAGAAGATTTTTACATATTATATATAAGTCAATCAGAAATTATTTACTGCACTGAATGTTGATGGTAAAAAGCTATTAAAATATCTATTTTTTGTATTTATTTGTTAATAATAATTAAGACTTAAATATTAGCAGTAATCTTGTTCCTTTCACAAAATGTTTTTTTAATTATTCTCAATTTGATTTACATTTATATGTTTGGCATTTATCCCAAAGTGATCTCTGAAAAAAATCATTCAATGATGAATTTAATAGTTACATTACCGGTTACATTAATTATTGGATTATAAATTAGAATAAACTACAGTTTCCAGCTTCTATACTACAACATTATTTTATATTTTTTTAATTTTTAAAATGCAGTCTGCACTTTGTTCCGGTGATTTTACACGTAATAGAATACAATTTATACTAGTGATTTGTACCCGATTGTTTAATTCAATTATTTACAAGATTTCAATAAAACAATATCTATGAAGTATAAACATCTGCATTTCTATTAACTTTAAATTTTTAATTGTATGAGCCATACATAATATTACATATATTTTTCGAAAAAAATATTTAATGTCTCACGGGTTGATCTAGCAACTGACTGCTAAAAACTGCAAGTAGCTGTGTTACAAGCAGTTAAAAATGAGTTGTAAAACAATACTATATTGGTTCAGAGTTAATCGTTGCTAAAATATGTTGACATGTATCTTAAGTCGAAAATCGCATTATTTCGGTAAAGGTTAGTTATGGAGATATATACTATTACAATTATTAAACATAAATAAAATATTAAACATAATTTTCTCATCTAAAATAAAATGAAACAATCATAATTCAAATAGTTAAATTTATTTATTTTAAATGAAAAAAAATCATATGTCTGCTCAGAACCGTTTTATTCGTATTTCGTATTAAATTATATTTAATTAAAATTAAAATATTTTTTTACTAGACAATTCAAGTGATTACAGCAGTAATGAGGAAGGTTTACCTATGAAGAAGTTTGTTATCACGTTTTCTGAGGATGAATGGTTTAAAATGCAGCCTCATAAAGTTGTTTATAACTATAAAAAGATAAAGATCGTCCATTGCAAAGTTTTAGAGCATATGATTCTTTACCTAAAAATACTTGGACACCAATTTTAGCCGAGCATTTCTGGATCCATACAGAACTTCCTTGTTGTCTTTCATTTCGTAGAGGAAAAGTTTATTCAAATGGACCCAACTATGTTGTTGTAATAGGACGTTGCACTGTTTGTAGTTCACATAGCTCTAATTTCGTTACAATGAGATCATTCTCCCATAGTCCCATAAAACTGACTTGTGCAATTGTGCATATTATACATTATAGCAGTTCAATATGTTGAGCAATATAATTATGTAAAATATTAACGAGTTGGCGTGTTCTTTATCGGTGACAGGGTCGTACCCAGGAAGTTTTAACGGGGGGGGGGGGTCCAAAAAGTACACAATAAGTTATTTGCACATTAAGAATTTTAAATTTTGTCAATGAATGTGGGGCCCCAGACTCCCCTAGGGTACGCCACTGATCGGTGATATTGAATTGAGTCCATGCTACTTTTAAGAGTTTGAATTGAGTCCAGCTTATAAATAAATTATTAAGGATCCCGGTGCAGTTTTTCAAATTGTCCACAATTCTATACAATTTGAAAATTTAATTTAATATTTTAGTTGCAACCTCAATTATAAGACTTTTCCACTAATTTACTACCCGATACCTATTTGGGGGGGGGGGGGGGTTGATAGAGTGCATTATAACGAAAAAAATGACTACGGGAATAACTCTCAAGCTTTGTGGAATTGTCGGATTTTGATGACAATTTTTTTTATCTGAAAGAAGAATAGACATCCTACAGCCCGCATCAATCTCTTATTTTGTATTTTATTTCAAAAAATTGTTAAAAAATGCTTTTTATCTTGTATTTTTTTAGACGTATTATAAAGTTTGAGAATAAAATATTGAAAAGCAGAGATCGATGCGGGCTGTAGAATATTTCCCTCTAGCAATTAAAAAAAAAAATTATGAAATTTGGTTGACTTTACAGGGCAGTAACGTTATTCTCGCTGAGTGTATTTTTGAGGACAAAATGGCATCCGCACCTCGCGCCTTAATATCTTTGAATTGAGTCCATATAGATAAAATGTAATAACTAAATATTAGCTTTTGGCGGCCTTTACACATTATATTACACATAATTATTATTATTTTTAATATTTTTAATTAATTGACTATTTATACTTATTATTACAATTAAAAAAAAAAACCTGTGTATACAATCACACACATTTTTGGGAGATTACTCAGCCAACCTCCCCGTGGTGTGTCCTGGGTAACGCTAATAGGCTGAAGGGACTTAACTCAAACAACCTAACAATTTTGGTCGGGCTCAACTCCGACAGACCCAAAAGTATTTGCGGGACTCAATTCAATGTTTCCCTTCTTTATTACCTATTGAATTACCTATTAGTTATCACTCGTAATAGGCTGAGAACTTTTAGTTTTTCATATTTATCTAGAAAGGTCGCATGCACAACAATGCGTGTGATGTATATAAATATATTTCATGACACAAGCAGGTTACCTATAACATAAAAAATTTAATTTTGCATATTTTTTGAAATTTTGTCGTTATTGCATAATATTTAAACGCATATTTGAGTAAATTGGACAGATTGAGAGCATAATAATATATATTATGTAAACACTTAGAACATTTTGCAGATATTTAATATAATATAAGATAGAAAATCTGTACGAAAATATGTTTATTAGTCATAATATGTTACATTAAAAAAAAACTGCACTAGAATATCTGCCATAGGCGCAACTAGACCAATATTTTTGGGATTACTCAAATTGTAAAGAATTCCCAGACCTCTACCCATAACACTGTACCTACCTAGGTATATCTATTAACAATAATTTCTAATGTATATTTCTAATTCTATATTTTAATAAGAGTGAAACAGTAACATAGGTATTATTATTAAGAAAAAAAAGTTGTCACAACTATTTTAACATGAACTACTCTCTTAAAATTCGATTTTTATGAATCAAAATACTTAGGAAAATATTCTGCTTTGGAATATGAAATTGAAACTCTATGCTGTCATTCAAAAAAGGGAAAAAACTTAAAAAAAAATTTAAGGATAAAAAATATTTAAAAATATAATTTTTTAATAAAAAACTTGAAGCTATGTAAAAAAATATTTTTAAAAACATTAATACTTTTTGAAATGATGAGTGTTTCGTATTAAAATAATCACCCTGTATAGGCATAAATATCGTGTTAGTGTGTACCTATATACCTACTATAGTCCGTCGATACAGGTGGTACCTATATGAAATAATATGAATCCAGAGTCCTAATGTCCTATACAAATAAGTGACGCACTCATATGGACTATGGACCCTGTTAATAACATGCTGTTATAGAATTGGAAAAGTTACGGCTTGGGTATGAATGATATAAAACGGACGTTTAACATAATTGTATAGATTCTTTAATAACAATTAATTACATAACAATTGATCAATAAACGTCTATGAAGGTGGAGACATGAGCATATCGTTTTCATGTAGTTCTCTTGTTTTGAACCGAAGCAAATCATTGTCGATGTCAATTGATTGAAGATCCTTATCGAACGTCGCTGATGGTTGAAATGAAGTATAAGAGCATAGACTATTCCAGTCTGTCTGAGGGAGGAGGCTAGACGAGTTTCCGAACATTGGATTATCTGAAAAACAATGTAAAAGAAACAAATTGCTTTGAAATTTAGTTTACATACTGCAGTTAGTACTTGTACAAAATATACCTCCTATAAAAACTATAATACAAATGTTTTTAAGAAATAATAAAATGTTATACTTTATACTTCGCCACTTATAGTTATATCATTATATAACATAAGATAGGTATTTAAAAGTCAAAATAATAGTGTTTACAATACTTCAATAAATATTTTATTTAAATTAACGGATTTGAAATCATGGTTAATAATACTCTGGATTATGGTGAATAAGTACATAAACATTGAGGGTTATTCCTACTAAATACATATAACACCATTATTATGGATTGCTAGTAGGTATAGGATTTATATGCCCAATGGAAATATAACAGTTGCCACGAGTTAAAGCCTAAAATATATACTAAACCTACTTATTAAATATGTATTATATAGGATCGACTGAAGTATTAATAATTAATTAATTCTATTAATCCTGGATTGATTGACTTTAGGTTTTTGACAGAGTGTAGACGCGAGGTTTATGTATTGGCAACCTATGTGTTCTACTTTTTAAATTTATTTATACTTATATTTTTGTACGTGTGCCTGTCATCGAGTTTGGATAAAAAAACGTGTTTCTATATTGAGCATATATAGGGCCATAGGGGGTGGTTTTTATGATGGAAAATTCAATCTATATAGTAGGAAAATACTCAATACACTTTTCTTCATAATAAGGGAATAAAAAAACAACGTACAACTAATTTTCGACAAAATAGTAAAATCGATTAGACCAGATTAGCATTTTTTTTCAATTTGTATTGATATTTTTTTGTGTTTAAGGGGCCTGGTCGCGATTTTTCAAATTTTCCCCAATTTTTTGTTGAAAAAATGTTTAGTGAAACGGAGAATTAATTTTTATAATAAATAAGTTTAAATTTAGCTATTATAAGCTTCTCCAAAATGAATTTAAACGATTCAAATGTACTAAACGAGGATGCACAGCAGTGGCGTGTATCATAAAAAAAATTGGTGTTGCTCAAATAATTTTAGTAGACCTACCCCTCATAATACTGTAATACCGGCCTATAAAATTACATATTTTTTCATCTATAAACACCCACCCACCCTTATTTAAGGTGTTGCCCGAGCAACACTTAGACGCTATGTTACACGCCACTGATGCACAGCTTATTTAATAATTTGTAAAAACGAAAATGTTGTATGGGAATCGTCCAATATTAATCATAGCCACAATCCAGATGAAGAAAACAAACTTGAACTCCAAATTATTAGTAACGGACTGAAAAGAAAAGCCATCGAAAGTATATGTGAACGCCCTTCTAAATTGTTTCATTCGTACTTAAGGGAAAATTCAACAAATTCAATTACAACGCAAGATGTTAAATACATAAAACATAATATGCTTCAAGCTCGAGTTTCAATGTAGAAAGACCACACAAAAAAAAAATTCAAGAAAAAATACAATTTATAGACAGTCAAATTCAGAAATATGATAATGGTATAGTATCAAGATTTGAATATATAAAAATTCTTGCAAACAAATTTAAGCCTACTAAATAATATTAAAACAGTGCAGGTCAGTGAATATTTGTATATTAAATTATAGTACATAAATACCTATTGTATACCTAATATTGTATATTTTTATTAAATTATTTTTTATTAATTTTATTTTTTATTATTATTTTAATTTATTTTCAAACAATTTTGATTGACTATTAAATGTAATATTTGTATTTTAAATTAATTTTATGTATAGTTTAGTTTATTTTCGAACAATTTTGATTGACTATTGAATGTAATATTTGTATTTTAAATTAGTTTTATGTATAGTTTAATTTATTTTCCAACAATTTTTATAACCAATGAATTTATAAAATATATGTCGAGGGAGCCAACTCAATGCATAAATCTTGGGAGCCAATTCAATACATAAAAATATCATTTACCTATGTTCGGGAGCCAAATCAATAGCTCCGATAGGGTGTATTATATCGGTCAAAACACAGTTTACAGGAAAAACTCTCACACCTCGTAGATTGGTCCGATTTCCGTAATTTTTTTTTGTTAGATAGAAGAATATTTTTACAGGGCGCACTGGACTTTGATTTTTGATTGCGTTGCTAAAAATAAATAATAATACAAAAACTAAAAAGTTGTAAAAATGGATTAAATTCAAACTTGTAATATAAGATTTCGAAAAATAATTTTGAAAATCCAAGTCCAATGCGCCCTGCAATACGTCTTCCTCTATTTAACAAAAAAAAAATTACGGAAATCGGACCAATCTACAAGGCGTGAGAGTTTTTCCTGTAAGGCATGTTTTTGAGCAAAAAAACAGGTCGAGACCAGGCCCCTTAAGCATAAAATAAAGGTTGAATTCATTTTAAGCTAATATATTATAAGCATTATTATGAACTTATTTTTACGCCATTTTACGATACGATCTGGTAAACATTTAATTAATATGCTATGATTTTGAAAAATATCGAATTTAAGAAAATACTAAATAATAATAATACAATTATATAAATGCAATATAATATGAAAACTATCAAACTTGAAACTATATAAGTAGGTATCCTAAGAAATGGATACTGATCAAACCGTATCCTTTGCCCAGAATCGTTTTGGTACTGGTACAATACTAAAATGATTTTTAATTGAATTCAAAATGAACACATCCACTACGGTGATGTGGAAATAAAATTACCCATAACTTAATGGCTATACTTTAGTCTTTAGAACATGTATCAGACGTCTGAAACTATGAACCCGTCACAGCAGGATACACGGGCAACTGTATACGAAATACGAATACGATTATTAATATTTTAGTACCTACCAATAAAGTCTCTGTCAAACAGAAAGCGTTATTTTCACGTGGCGTGATTTTGCAATTTGTTTCAACGCCGCGTTATTCATGCGCGTGAAAGCACCACGCCGACGAGCCATTTGCCTCTTTAACGCGCGTTATAACGCGTTCTGTTTGACAGAGCCTTAAGTAGGTATGCAATTACTAATTATGCAGGGGCGTCATTTGGGGGGGGGTCAGGGTGTGCGGTAGCACCCCTTAATTTTAAAATGGTTCCAATTGGCCTGCGCCCCGCTGAAGCCTAAAATAATGCACGAGCCACGAATACACAATTATTAATATGATTAAAATTAAATTGTATTTTAATTTTTATATCGACAACTTAATGAAAGATTTTCAGAACCAACCAATAACTTGTTTAAGTTATTTGAAATGTTTGACTTTTCTAGTCCCAATTTTTTTAATCCCGATAGTCTTTATTTAAAACTATTTATAAACCATTATAGTTATATTAACTTTAATGAAATTCAAATTTCTTCTGAGTTTCCATCAGTAAAAGCACTATTTAATAAGAAACATGATGTTGATTTGGACACTATAGCACTATGCCTAAAAGATTTTCCTATCGCTTTTGTTGAAACTTTAAAAATTATTTCATTGGTAAAAACTTTACCAATTACAAAGGCATCAAATAAAAGGTTTTTTTCATTACTTAAAAGAGTTAAGTCATATTTACGCATTACCATGGGTGATGAAAGGCTAAGTGATTGGATGGTACTTAATGTTGAAAAAAAAGAAGTTAACAATATAAATTTAGAAGAAGAGCTGCAGATAAATTCACTAAACTAAAAAATCGACTATATCCGCTTATTTAAATTTAAAATATTTTTTTTTCTAGCGCTTTACTTTTTCCAAAATTATAATAATTATGAAAATAAACGACAATTAAGTCATTAAGTCCTTTTTTATTTGCTGCTGCATTAATTCTTCTAGCTTTTTATGCGTCAATTGTTATTGGTTTTCACTGTTAAGGTAATTCATTATTTATTATATTTTAGTTTCTTAATTGATATTTACTATTTATTTTGATGAAATGATTCCGAATTGATTCGGTCCATACTCCATAATGCATGGAAATAATTGAAAACAGGATAATGTACATATACATATGTATATCTATTTTTATACTGAAATTTCAAAATGGCCTGCTTGAAACCTCGCACACCCGAAAAAAACCTGAAATGACGCCCCTGTAATTATCTACCCATCGGCTATCTACCAACTTATATTATCGCTTTACTATGTAAGGAAAAGGATTGCAATTTAAAAATAAATTGTTTAATTATAATTACTATAGGTTAGTACCTAACTAGTATTTATTGAAATATATCAAAAATTATATATAGTGCCTACTTAATATTATGGTGCAATAATGCCATTTATGCTGCACTATTCAGAATATGTATATCATGCATAATATATAATAATTTATATATATAAAGGTACTCGAGCATAGGCATAATATATCTAGGATAATATATATTATTAATATACATGGTGATTCTTTTATCATGAAACACTCATTTTTCCAAAAAGTATTAATGTTTTTGAATATATTTTTTTACATAGTTTCCAAAACAGAATATTTTTTTAAGTATTTTGATACATAAAAATCGAATTTAGGACGAGTAGTTTATGAATTAAAAGTATTTAAAGCTTATGGACAAGCAGAGTAGTGGACAAACATTTTGCGGGGTAACCCCGTACCACTCCTCTCCGCTCATCTAAACTTTAAATACTTACAACTCATAAACTACTCGTCCTAAATTTGATTTTTATGTATCAAAATACTTAGAAAAATATTTTGCTCAGGAATATGAAATTAAAACTATATGATGCCCTTCAATAAAGTAAAAAACTTAAGAAAATATAAGGATAAAAAATATTTAATAATATGATTTTTTAATAAAAACGTTGTCTTTTAACAACTTGAAACTATGTAATAAAATATTTTCAAAAACTTGTATCAACTTGTATTATATCCTATCAACTATGTTGGTATAGTTGGTATATTATAATTACGGTTTTAAGATGTAATGATTAATTTCTAACCTGTTAGACAAGGGTTTATAATTGGTTCATTTTGGTTCTGGTGCTGGGAAACCAAGGTCTTTTCCTGCTTCCGCCATTTGGCTCTACGATTTTGAAACCATACCTATAGATTATTTAGACAACATTTGTTTTAAAAATATTACATCCAATATGGAAGGATAATATGCTAAATATCATAAGTCCCGATTAAAGATCTATTGGACCACGGGACACTAGACACTTAGCTTTAACCCTCAAACTTAACCTTTCTCTGCACTTTAAACATTTTTTAAATAGTTTTTTTTTTCTATTTTATTAAATGAATATTTACAATCTGTATACATAAAATAATACAATAAGTAAATTATGAAAGCTTAAACGAAAAAAAAGAAAAGAACATGAAGGCGCCCATTGACACCACTTCAAATTTTTAAATAGTTACACATTTTTTTACGGTTGAATAAGCTTTATGATTCTAAAACATTAAACACAAAATAGTTAATAATATACTATCAAAATAATTATGTAATATTATATTATATTACATTTTATATGTAATTATAAACTATTTAAACACAGATACTAAAGTAGCTGCAACAACCAATACATTCTATTTTAGGAGTTAGACAATATATAGGTAATATAAAATATTGTTAAGTACCTATACTTCCCTTGAATATAGCTCAAAATTGCCAAATATCAATAAATAATTTAAATAATAATAATTGAATTATGTTAATGATATATTTTATTGAATATAATTTAACAATTACATGGTATTACCACGTACTACATACTACACACTGAACCACATCGTTCACAAATCACAGTATCCATTTTCACTATAATTTACAAACTTTATGATAGTTATCAAGCTATATACCTATTAAAATATCAATTTATAATTTGATAGGTAAGTAGGCAACATTTCGTAATATGAATATGATTTGTTTTATTTTTTGAAATGTCTTTTGAATGTGCAGTGTTAGTGTGCACACATGTTTTGTATAAAAATATGGGCCCTGGTACCATATGTGTCCGTGCCTCCCCCATCCTTAATCCGGGATTGGTATTTGGTAGGTAATATGAAAAATATAGGTATTACCTGCACCCTAGCTTCAGTCAAGTCGATTCTCATTGCCAGTTCTTCGCGAAAAAATACGTCAGGATAATGTGTTTTCTGAAACGAGTTTTCTAGTTCTTCCAGTTGGAAATTCGTGAACGTCGTTCTGAAAACATAAATTCAAATTTAACATACATCAGATACACAACGGGTCGACAGAGGGGTGTAAATGTTAGTGTCGAGCAGTGAGCAAAAATCGCATATAGAATGTCTTAACATGTATGAAATTATTTTTAATCGCAACATAATCGCATTTTTGCAAGAATAGAATTATGCTTTTTAGAGTGGTTCTAAAATGCACGCCTTATAGAATATAAATAAAAAATACTAAATTGGTGGCCGATAACTATATTACTACTTAGTGCACACTAATAATATACTATTATAATATAGGATCCATATTTTCTTTTTAACAACATTTTTAGGCAAATTGTCTTGGTCTCTGCGCATAAAGTTTGGAACTTTTTTGTTTTACCGCGGACAACGGACTTGTTTTTTTTTTTGTTTTAACGTATAAAGTTAAGCATATCGTTTGATGGTGAAGTCAGAATTTGGTATTCGAACTTAGTTTTAAAATGATATGGTTAATTTAAATTATAGTACTTTCATATACTATCATATACTTTCATACAGGTATACTATAGCTCTCTCTCGGACAATTAAAATAAAAAAAAATTCCTCAATATGTTATATAAAGCGACCTCAGGTAGGTCTGGGACTTCAAATAGCTATAGCTTTAAAACTATTAGTCCGACCGCCAAATAATTCTTACTTCACCATCGTTTTCAGCATGCTTACCTAACTACATAAGACAGACTCGTGTGGCGTATCCAGGATTATTTAACGAGGGGTGTGTGTTTAAGTGTTTTAATTTAATATTTAAACACAACTTGGGTGGGGGCTGACTGTGCACACATCGAAAATGTTTTTAAATTATACGGAGGAGGGTGTCTTAACACCCAAATCACCGTGCCTGGCTACACGCCTGCAGATATAAGATAAAACGAATAAAACTGCCAAAAAAATGGTGTCCGGTAAAACAGAATTATACCTAGGTACCATTTGTTTATTTATATTTTTAAATAATTATCCTAAAATGTAAATTTAACATGATATACTAAAAAAGCTGCTTATAGGCGGCACTTGACACTTGACTCTTGGTGCAGGGGAGAGGGTAAAAATTAACCATAATTTACCGGCCCATCTAAAATGATAAGTTTGCCCTCTCAATATTTTTTCTGGGGGGCAACTGTGCACTCACGATCCCCCTCCCCAAATGTCATCTATGAAAAATCTATTAAAATTCTAAAAACAATGAAACTTAATTCGATGTTCCTGAAGAATAATTTCACAATTGTGGCTTGTATATAAAATGATAATAATTTGCAGTAGGTAGGTACAAATGCACTAACCATTAAAGGCTAAGCTCCACTGATATAATATATTATGGCCAAAAGGCTTGACTTTTCGCGCCGTACTTGAAAATTTCGAAATTAAATACAAAATATAAAATCTCGAGTATTATAAAAATTCGTTTTTTCAAAACTAACGTAGTAGGTACGTAGTTTAAAAATTGTATTAGGTTTTTTTCTTACAATATGTCTATAGATATATTAGATAGGTATCCACGTCGTATTTTAAAATAGTTTATTTCGAAATCCCGTGCTCGTCCCTGGGGGTAGCGGGTAAAACTACTGTTACAAAACAAAAAAACCGTCCAAAATGCAACCGTTACCTGTATCTCCGCTGTTTCCTCTTGACGTTGCTGTTGGAATTTTGGTCTGTGCTCAGAGATCCAGACGATTGATCGTTGTCGTCGCATCGATCCGAAGGACTGTCGCAGCCTGTCACATCTCCGTAATCTGCACATATTATGACGACAGAACACATAAATTCATTTTATTGTTGTTATGTCACAACAATCGTCCGACGACCACCTACCGTAGTGCGGTCCAGCTCCCAAAAGACCGTCGAGCACGGTAGTGGTGTCCCCGGAATCCGTCTCTGTGCAACGCAGGTCTGAAATGTCCAAAATCGCCTTCTCTTCCATACCCCTAAATGCCACCACCTCATGTTTAATATAGTTTTCTACGTCTATAATTTACGATACATATGAAAAATCAAAGTAAAATACATCCAGTGGGGCGTATACACGCGGTGCACCTTCCATATCGCGGGAGAGTCGGGATAGGTATTGAAGTTAATTATTTAAATTACGAAATACTAAAATAACTACAGAGTAGGCACGACTACCCAATTATTTATCGAAAAGAAAAATCGTTGGTCTACGTTTGGGGGGTCTATCCCCCCCTCGTGTGTACACCCCTGAATGTATCGGTTGTGAATTATAATTATTATACTACTGACCTTATATGGTGATGGCAAATTTAATTATGTCACTGGAACCTTATTGGTGTTATTATTATAATTAAATGAGCGTAATTCGGTTAGGACGCTGTACAGTGTACGATATAATAATACATCATTTGTTCTGCGAACTAGGGCGCGTTATTATTACATTAAGAAATAAAAAATACGTTTCGCTGTCAGACACGAAGAACGGCGTACAAGGTTTGAACTTTCGAGCTTCCACGGAAGCAGCAAAAGTGCGTTCCTGATTAGCGCCAACGGATTCGGTCGACTATATTATTCTCTTGCATAACATATATCGATTTTGTTTTTTTCTAATGTAACTGTAGAATGATATATTGAATGTCAACAAATATATTATTATGTCGTGTACCTACATATATATGCTTCTCCGAGTCTTCACACACGTCTAATTTTTGTCGCCGCAATACCCATAGTAGTTATAGACTTCGGAGGCGTCGATTTAAATACAAATTCCATTTTATTTCGAGTGATCTGAATCATTGCTTCCTAAGAACAAAATTTGTTTTACGCGGAACTTTGTACATTTTGTCATTTATAAAAGTTTCTTATCTTCGTATAAATAAAAATGAGCTGCTAAAAAATTGAATACCTGTTTATTATAATAATATATACAAAATTATAATTACAATAGTATAATTTATTTCAAGTTTTAAATTCAAACAATCATCTACTTTGGTTACAAGTATTTTATTAGGAATATTGAACTAAATCATATACACAATACGTACACACACATATTAACATTAAAATACCTGTTTAAACATTTTAGAAATAGTAATAGGTCAACTAATACAAAGTTTGTTTAAAATGAAGACAATTTAATTTGTATATTATCAACACAGTAATTATAACTATATAGAATCTGGGCAACTATACAATCACTTTCAGATAGTAAATCTGTGACAGTAAATTTGAGTATTCTAATCATTGCTTTCTAACAACAAAATTGGTACGGAAATTTTTATTCGTCATTTTTTAAAGTAGTATTTTTAACGAGTATTTTTCATATAAGCTTAAATGAAAATGAGCTTCTAAAAAAATGGATACCAGAATGGTTGTATATTATATATACAAAATTATAATTACAATAATATAATTTATTTTAAGTTTTAAATTCAAACAATCAACTACTTTGATAACAAGTTTTTTATAAGTAATTGTGCTAAATTATATACATACATATATCAACATTAAATGTGTTTAAACATTTTTAAAATAGTAATAGGTCAACTTATCCGAAGCTTGTTTCAAACGTGGACAAATTAATTTGTTTATCAGAGCACAATATTTATATCTATACAGAAATTGGGCAACAAATACAAACAAAAACTTTCTGATAGTAAATCAATGACATTAAATGAAATTATCTATAGTGTTAAATGGATTAGTTAGAAACAAGATTTAGAGTTTACAAGAACAAACATAATTCTAAAAAATATTTAAATTATATACAATACAAAAACCATTTTCAAAACATTGAAAAAATAAGTAGGTAATTATGTATAATAATGAAACAATAATATGACTTAAAATGTATATATTCGTTTAAAAAATATTAAGCCACATAACTGTAGCCATCAGATGAATTCGGAGTGCGTTCTAGATATCCTTTATCAATTAGTGTTTCTATAGATTTTTTTATAAGTGCAATCGATGGTGCAAATGTCTTTGATTGGGAAAGTATCTAAAACATAATAGATATTGTTAATAATTAAATATTAATCTAGACATTTTTATTTATTTTACTTACTTCATTCACAAGTTGATTATGTCTCAGTATCTTACGTGATTTCATTATTCGAACAATAGCTGCCTGTAAGTATGTTTTACGATCATCTTCGACAGAATTAACAGTCTGTTCGACCTCTTGTGGAGTTTCTTTTTGGAGAGCTGATGTGATACGCAATTTTGTACGCTTATTGGTGTATGCCATGTTTAATGAAACATTCTAAAAATAATTTATAAACAGCAATGTAAAAATTTAAGTTTATTGAATTTGTAGACAGTTTACTTACATCACCATCAATCAACAACAATTTGCATTCAACTAAGCTATTGATGTGCTTTTGAATTTGATCACTGGTTAATTGAAGCATTTCGTGAATTTCAGTGTAGTTTATTGTATCACGGTCTTCAAATAGTAACATTATAGACATTTGGAACGTCTGCATTGTCACTATATACACTTTTTGTAAATAACCCAATTTTAACTCGGCTATTGATACAATATAAAAAAATACATTTTAATAAGTAATAAGGATATAATAACAATTTGACAAAATAACAATACCCTGACAATGATGATGAAGCCATGTTAATTTCCGTCCATTAAATTTTTCTTTGTAGAAAGCTTCAAACTAATTACAATAAATCTGGTTGAGTTAAAGTTATATTATTAATATATTATATATATTTTAAATATTTACATATTGTATACAAGGTATCAGTTGTTGAGGAATAACAAATGATGACACAATTGATGATCCCAAAGGCCAAGCTCCAGTTTGCAATACATACATAGAAAATGAGACATTTAACTTATCAGTAGGTTTAAGGAATTCACTATGGAATTTTGCATTCAGTCCTTCTGATACTCTGATATCAGTAAACATACGATGTAATTTATTTGTAAACTCGTAACCACAAGCTTGCTAAAAACAAAAATAATTATTAACATAATACAAACTTAACAACATTTGATTAATTTACTTTCAATTTGTTGATCATTCCTTCTTCTCCGTCCATGGACTGGCTTTGTTGGTGTATTAACCGTTTTGCCAGATGCCTTTGATAGAACCTCTGGAATATATCTTTATCATCTACATACTTGAATATAGTAATAGACTGTAATAGTTTTTGATCAATTTCACCCTCACACATGCCTTTAGACGATTTTTTCAATAAATTATCGCAGTATTTTGATAAATATTCTGGCGACTTTGATGGTTGATTTTTTACTTGTTTATAGTTTATGATAACTGTAAATGCTTTATCAAGTGCACCACTGAAGCATAAATCATTGTTGAACACATCTACAACTATAGATTTGTATTTTTTATGTACCTCCAATACTTCCTCAACAAAATGTACATATACCTATATAAAAAATTATATACGTAAAATGTAATTCAGACTTAAAAATTATTATTAAATAATAAATATTATATACTTGTTCTTGTCTTAAAGATTCAATAACTCTGATTCCGTGTTGTTTTATGTGTTCTCTGAAAATGTCAACTAATGAGGTCATTCCATCTTTAACTTCACGTAAAAGCAAATAAATATTGTGCATGTCTTCTCGCCGCTCTTCCTTTATCATAGCTTCAGACTCTCCATACAAAAAATTTAAATGATCACCAACCATATGTTTACGACAACGTCCCCGCAGTTTAACATAGGTGCTAAATAAAATATAAAATATAAACAATAATATCTAGTATCACTATGGTTTAAATATTGTGAAAAATTACCTGTCATGGAGATATTTTTTTGATCTAATTCCTTCTTCTTTCAATATTTGCAACACTTTAACCATGTACTCGGACACTGTGCTTTCTTGTAACAATTTTGCAGCTTCACGTTTAAAGTGTTCACTACTTTGCTCCAAAAAAGGTTGCTCAAAATAACTTTGATACAACTAAAAAAAAATAAAATGTTTAATTTAAAACATAGGTCCTTCCTGAATGTATGAAGGTATTTTCTAATCTTATAATAAATAAATATAAATATTCACTTCAAGTGGATGTTTTTTCCTGAACTCCTGGACAACAACAAATGAGTTAATAACACCAGAAATGATATCCGCAGATACGGTCATTGATATGTCATGCCTTTGTTTATCAAATTGATCTAATAATAACTCGAGCATACTGTCTTTCAGCGGTACTATCATATTGTGTTTCCACACATCAAGCCCCAGTTCTCCAACCTCCATCTGTTCAGTGGCATCTGGTGTAATGTTTCCATATAAAACTTCTGCTTCTGACAATTTATGCTTTTTAATATGTTGGTTATTAAGGTACCTAGAAATGGTTTTATATATATTATACATACTTTAATATGTTAATTTAGATAAGAAAATACATACTGGTAAAGTGAATGTAGGTATTTGACACCTTTACTATACTTCTGCCAATATGTATAATAATTTTGTAACAGATTTGCAGTACCTCCGGTTTGTATGATAGTCAATAGTTCAAGTACGTGGTTCTCTAAGAACAACTTTGTTGAGTCATAAAGTTGATCACCAAGGGGCTCTGGGAAGGCCACACACATAGAGTAAACATCATTGAAACGTTCGTTCCATGCATCCCTAGGAACTGTGTCTAATGTTATGACACCTTTTACAGTCTCTTGTAAACTGTTCCATTTTTCCGTGAAGTTTATTGGTTTTGGTTTTAGTGACATATTTGTTGAATTTTTTTAATACAACTAGAGATTAAAATTAAATGCAGATTAGCGGTATGAAAGTAATAATTAGTACCTAAGTCTCACAATTTGTTAAGAAATGTTAACTAAATGGAATATTTGTATCTATGGGTTTAAAAGGATTTTACTTACATAGTTACATAGGACTTAAATAACCCTTATTACATAATCGATCATTACAGATATAAATGTTTCATAAATCAATTAGCATAGGCAATACAACTTTGGGAACCTATTATGAATATTTTAACTATTTTTATTATTTTTACTCACGTAGGTTATAGGCGAGACTTAGCCTTCTCTAGACCTTCCAATGTCAATAAGGCAATTAAATTATAGAAAAATAAAAATACAGCTAAGAGTAAGGAGTAAGAACTAAATAAATATTACTTAATAACTATACTAACTATACATTTAATTCGTACTTCGTACATAAAGGAAAATGTTAAGTTAATATTCCAACTATACACTATTCAGTTAAACAATGGCCAATCCGACGGACAAAAACAAATTTAAACTGCACATCTATCACCATTACTGTTATTAGCACAACTGCCTATATTCACCCGCCTGTCATTTGCTAGAAACGATTAGCGTCCAACCATTGCCGACTTTGGCTCTAAGAGGGTAGAGAGGCAATGTACAAGCCCATTTGGTATGTGCGAAACTAGTCGTTAAAAATTGAATACACTATAGATGATCACAAAAGGGCATTTTTTTGTCCTACGAGTGATTTAACTTTTGTCGTTGAATAATTTATTAGACGAGAATTTAATTAATTCTGAATATTTAAAAGTATAGGTAATTACATTTTGTAATTCAAATTCAGACAAGAATAAATTATGCGTTATTTTCACAATTAATATATTTTGCATAGGTAATGAAAAATATAAGTTTAAATTGAATAAATAATAATTCGTTAGGTATTAAAATGAACAAGCATTAGGAGGTAGGTAGTTGAAGTATTTAAACAGGTATCTTGTTAGTTTTAAATTACCTAATGAACCAAATTCTGTTGTATGCACAAAATTGGACCTATCCAAAACTAATAGAAGGTTTTCAGATCTAACGCGTGAAATAGACAACTGTCAAAAACATAAAAACCTATGCGGCCATAAAAATGTGAAATATTACAGATAAATATTTTCAAACACACTGATAATAATATTGTAATCGTACAATACGAGTAAACAGATATACATATAGACATACTTTGAGATCAGTATGTACCCGAGACAAACATTTTAAATAGTTTCAGATAAAATTCCACTGCCATGATACCGAGCTATCCAACCGTCGGGCAAACGAATAACTGTTTTGACACCATATTTGTCAACATTAAGGTCAAACGACGAACAACAATAATAATAATTGCGTAACCACTTTGCAGTCGATCGGGGGTCATGTCGTGGGGACCGAGATATTTACCGAAAATATCAGACGACATTAATCTATAGACATAATATCGCTTTTCCATACCTGGAGACGTCACTCGGATCCGCTATTCCATATCACTGGTGGTGGCCGTCGTTCGGAGGATGCTGAGCACACGGGTCGGACTTACATAAGCAAACAAGTCGCGGCGACGAGAGTGCGAGTGACTGTGGATCGCGATTAAAAATTATAAAACCACCCAAAAAGGACGAAATAAATCACGATCGTAGATAGAGCACACAGAATCGGATGGGTATATAGTTATTTCTATGTTCTATCAATAATCGAGAAATAATACATTTTTATAAACACGATATATTTTTATTTGTCACCCCTCGGCAGTGTGGCCAAAGTGATACTCGGAATCCGCGAGCTCGACCGCCGCCGCCGCCGTCGAAAGTTCTGATTTTTCGTCAGAGGTTGAGAGGTAACACCAACGACGACAACTTTCATAACGACGTCTCGCGGTCGATTTGGCGCAGGTGACATTCCATCGGAAGATGGCGAAAACGACAATAATAATTATTATCGGCGGACAAAACGGCCGCAAGCTTGCCCCTGGGCCCCGAGATATAATATTAATTATGATATTACGCGCCAGCCATGGATTATTTATAAATTATTATTGTTCTACGAGTTGATAAAAGCATAGAATGGATAGGCCATGGCTATATTAATAAAATAGAGGGAAGTGTCGCCGGAATGGGGAAGAGAGAAAGACTGTTTTTTATCATCGTTTCTCATTTTAGCAGTGGGTCTTATCACAAATTATGTACAATAATTATATATATATACATTTGTGATAAGACCTCTATGACCTCAAAATATTTTCATGTTCATTCCCGTATGTTAAGCATAAATGGCCTGTATGGATAAAAGAAAAACGATTTTTAGGTTATGGTACATATTTTTGAATTTGTTATGTTTTTGTCACGGCCTGCTGCTGCTGATAATCTACAACCGTGGTTTTTGTTTTTGATTTCGAAGCGCTTTCGAAACGCCGAACGGTTTTCGGTGCGGTTAATAGCGGTTATCACCAGCTCGCTCGTTAATGACACTTGTTTAGGAGACTGTGGACCGTAAATCGTAATCGTTCGGCGCGGAGCGAGTCGAATCCATTCGTTTTATTTTTTCCAGAAGACGACATGAACTGGCCGTGAACGGCGACAATGGCTGAAACGGAGGCGACAATGGCGGAAACGGCGGAGGCGACCGAGCCGACAACGGGCCCGGACGACAAGGAACTGGAGGCCATCATAAAACTCACTTGGGGCGACCAGCCGCGCCAAGACATATTCCAACGGTGGACCCAAGGTGAGCCGTCGCAGTCGCTTTCGACAACGGAGTACCGATGAATAATGATCGTTGTCAGGCTTTTGTTTCAGTGCCGACGAACCGACGGCGCTGGTGCAATTCGAAGGCGGACCGTGCGCCGTACTAGCACCGATGCAGGCGTACATCGTCAAGTATATCGTCAACAACAAGTCTGTCAACGACGATTGGAAAAAAGTATGTGTTTTGAACAAGTTTGGGGGTGAACTGTTGAACTTGAAACTATTATGATATTATTCTACAGGCTGAAGTCGAAGAACAAAACCGTCTTCTGTGTAAGGCCGCCTGTGAAATCCTCTGCCAAGCAACACAAGGCTGTGATATTTTTAAATTTGTATATATTGACGATAAAGAGGGGTGCCTTGAACACAGTCAGTTTCACTCTATGCTTAAGTATGTATAGTTTGTTTTGGTTTTTTACACATGCTGAATTGTTTTATTTGCACTTTTCTAGAGTAGAACAAGTGAACAAGGATGGTATTGAGACTTTTTTTAACGACCGTATTAGTTTTTTGCGTGACACATTTGGAGTTTTACTATTTTTGTATACAGTCATGCTCTCCAAGGTAAATTAATTATTTTTTAAAATATACCTTCATTTAAAAATTGACTAATACAATTATTCTTGCAGGGTTTAGTCAAATTAAAAGAAGAAATATGTGATTTAGACGTGATTTTGATTGACAAAGAATTTGGCTATGGTAGCCAAAGCTTAATCAATATGATGATTACAGGACAAGCAGTTGCTAATGTATTTAATAACGATCAAGTAATAGCTGGGTTTAGTAAGTCTTGAAAGTTAAAAATTGAATAGGCACATTTGAATATTAAATATTTAAATAATTACGTGTTTGTCCTAGAATTGCCAGGTATTGAAAAGCAAAGTGAAGTTGGATTTATGACCTTATTAGAACATTTGAGGTACTGTAGTGTTGGAACCTATTTAAAAAATCCATGTAACCCAATCTGGGTGTTGGGCAGCGATACACATCTTACCGGTACTGGAGACAATTTTTATAAATTTTTTATTTTTACCTTATTTTAATGTGTTTCACCATTTCAGTGCTGTTTTCGTTTGATCAAAACTTGGTGGGAAAAGAAACACAAGCTGACATTGCCAGACGGATGTTTAAGTTGTTCGATCAAGATGGAAATAATTTCATTAGTACTCAACATCTAAAGCCATTGTTGGAAAAATTAGACCTTGTATCTGACGACGAATAGTATGTAAATTATTTAATTGCAGTATAGATTATGAAATGTGATACGATTGACTTTTCAGTGTAAACCTGATGTCCACAAAATTGGATTCCGAAGGGCTTGGTATCATATTAATGCCATCGTTTATGGAAGAATTTTTTTCCGAACAAGAAGCCAGAACTCCAGATGTTTTTGTATTATTCCATTACAACGGACAACCGAGATCCAACTCTAATTCAAAGGTGACATATTTAGAAGGTAATGCTATAATCCAGGAATCTGACGTTATATGCATATCAGAGGACAACAACCTACAATCTTGTTTACAATCTAAGTGGTCATCCATTGAAATACAATGGAAAGGAAATGTAACACCTTCGATTAATTAAATTTAAATGTCGGAAAAAAATACATTTTCTAAATGTTCGGGTGATTTTGTTAAAAAAAATCTCATGAGACTATTACACTAAACCTTAAGAATTGTAACATAACTTTGACTAAAATAGTAAAATTGTATTACTAAAAACTTTTAATTGGATATTATACTGATTTTTTTTTCAAAATTATATTATTTTGCTATGATTTTCATTACATTGTTGGACATTATGCATTATACGTTTTTCAAATCATTGAATGTATACACAAAACAATATATTATTATAGTTTGTATAACATTAACCAAATATCTCATGTTTATACATATTATTACTACCTATGTACATATTAAAAAAAAAATACATATTTTATGATTTAATTAAGTTTTATTAATTATATAACATTTATAAGAAAAAAAAACATCTAAAATTGACCGAATAAGGTATAACACGATATTATTATAGCAAGTTAATAGTTTTATATTATATAATATTAATGATTGTATAAAACTATAAACAGATGAATAAATGAATATTTTCATATTTTCTTTTTAATACACACAAATATATAATGCATTACAAGCTTCCAACATTTTAGATCACTGGTAGGCGACAAGCCACTGAGTGCATTTAATCGTAAATAAAAATAGATTATTGATAAACATACAAAATGTTCCTTTGGGTTTTTAATTGTTGTACGTAGGTACCATATCGGGATATCCGAAGACGTACAATTTCCATTACCTCGTTGATTGCTGTGCGTTATTTGTTCGTGATTTTCTTTTCAAAGTTTATATTTTGTGTAATAGTGTTCTATATAAAAATTAATAAGAAGCATGCATGCTATACATGGCGCTATACCCAAATAAAACATAACCAAATCATAACAATGCGCTAGAAACGAAATTACTTTTATTTCGATTATACTATACTCTGGTAATATGATTATATTATCATAATATGGCATTTCAAAAAAGTGTGCATTTTTATTTATATAAACCGTTTCCAAGCTTGTCGTCTATCTATTTTGTAGAAATTGGTACGCAGCAATTAAAATTGTAGGTGCTTTCGAGTTGTCTGACACCTGTTGTTCTGTTGATGCCGAAGGTTGTCCTTGAACTTTGGGTTTGTTTTTCATTATTTCTATAACCATACCAATATTGTAATATATATAATATAACTCATGTAAGTATGTACCGATGTACCACACTTAAAATTAAAATTAGTATGTAATTTTTGTCAACATTACACCATACATATCTGTACCATGGGCTCACGCCCGTTTATAATTAATAAAAAAAAAAAAATTATTTATTAAGATTTAACAATGGTGTGTAGCACATATATAATAGACATTAACAATACTAAATTTACAATAGATATGTATATACAATGAACACACGTCCTTACCACACAATTTAACCTACTTGACAGATTATATACCATTTTGGCTTATGTACACCGACTGATCAGGAAGTATACAATTTAAATTCCAATTTTCATAATATAGTCTATCAAAAAATATAAACCTTAGATATGACATCAAAAGTACGTACAGGCCATGGGGTATGGTTATGTAAATATGTAATATAGTATATAAGGTGTCCCGTGAGGATATACCTATTAGCCGTAGAGGGGGACTCGTCGCCAGGACAAAAACCGGTTTTTTGCCGTTTTACTTATTAATTAAAAAAATTATTAAAAATCAGGAAATTAATGAAATTAAAATGTTGAAACGTCAATATTTTCAGAAAAATGAACTCTACAAAATGGCAATCTTCAATATTTTTTAAATAATTAACTAAAAAAATTATTTTTTTAAACTTTTTTACCAAAACATAAAAAAAAAAATAAAAAATTAGTTATTTGTAGTTCTTACCTCTGTGAGTCTTAATAAGAAAACAGAATTATGATATCTCTATTATTTCAGGAGATATCGCAATGAGTAAATCCTCACGGAACACCCTGTATATTATATAAAGCAATGTGCATACAATGTGTTAATTTAACCTGTAACTTTATTATGGGCGGCTTCCCCCTATATACGCCACGGCATCTCACATTCGCGATAAATGATAATTCACCATAAGCAATATGATCCTCGAACTTTGGTTTTCACATTTGATTGGCAGAGTTTACCCATTACAAATGATATAGACATTCCGGTAGATAAATTTAACTGTAAAATAACTGAATTAATCACTATTGCGAGTAAAGTTACTATTTGAAAAAAACAATTTAATAAAACCAATAAAATTAAAAGCTGGATAACCAACGGTCTACTCATCTCCTTTAGAAATAGACTTAAACTTTATAAAAAAAAACTAAGAGCACCTCTTGATTTAAAGCTTAAACAACACTTTATTAAAATTTCAAATTCTAAATTTGTATTCATCGATTTCAATTTCATAGTCAAGTGTGTATGATATATGTTTATAGTTTGCATCACTTCGCATTTATTATATTTTTCATTTAAATTCTCAGAAACAAGTTAAAAAGTAATTAAACGTGAACAGTTTTTATATTCAAAATTGGCAGCCATATGTTTATGTTGGTTTAGGGCATTTATCCAAATTCAACTCACTCCATAACCTCTAAATTGAAACTGTTACTACAGTTACATACAAACACTACAAAAAATTCCACTCCAAACTTGCCACCCACACCAACCCCCTTATAACCAACGGAGGCGGAGCAAACCTACCTAATAATCCCACCGTTAAAAAGACATTGGTACAAGGATTTCCTAAACCCCTGACCCCAATGACACATGAGGGTTCTGTCACTGGACAACCTCCCTCATCATACCAGGCCCCCTAATGTTATTTATAGTTAAAAAAATTTGATACATTTCATTTGAAGTCTATTACAATATGAATATCTTGGGAAAAGAACAAGTTTAGTACATATTGAGTTGTATATTTGTTAAGTAAATGGCCAAATTAAAAATATAAGTACATTAAAAAACTATAAATAAAATACTAGTGGTTTAACTTATATATTACATATTATTTTCACTGCGTCTATTCTTTTTACATTTGACATGCTGTAGTATTGACGTATTGTTCAAAATAATTGTTAATAATTTTCATCCCACATAAAATCATCTTGTACAAAATATGTACATAAATGAGCTCTAAAAAACATAATTATTATAATAATAAATATGGTAAAATTAATTGTTTTTATAAGTAATTTTACCAAGTAGGCATATACAATTAAGTATACACATTAATTATATCATAGTCATAGAGTGAAAGACAAAAATACATTTTTTTTTTTTATAAAATTATATACATATAATTTATAATTAAAAAGAGTATAATTTACATTTCAATAAATATAGGTAACTATCTAGTATTTTATATTAATTTATAACAAATAATAAATCTATCTAATTAAAACATAATTTCAATAACAATTATTTTTATCACATGTCTTATAAAAGTTTTATTGTCCGTGTATGAAACATCGATTCAATAGATAGACATTTTTTTGAGTTAATTGTAAAAATTTCTATTGTTATGAAAACAAAAAAAATAATAATATTGGATACACCTAAGATGAAAATTATCGATAATTATTATAAAATCTATTTACTTATAGAACTTTCTTTTTATGTTTAATTATATAGGTTTGTTCAAATTTGAATAACCTTAAAATTATTATTGTATTGTATAAAATAAAAAAATATACAATTTGTAATAAATACATTTTTCAAAAATGACAAAAAAAAAAAATAATAATAATAACTAATATAGTAAGTTGTTTATACATTTAATTATTTAAACAAATGTTGTTTAAAATTTAGGCACAAACACAAACATAATATATATATATATATATTATCAATGATGATCTACATCACTTTTTTATTTAAATTGTATACATTTACGTATACATTTGTATTATTAATTATTATAAAAATTAAAGAAAAAAATATTTTCCCTTTAACATTTATCATAATTAAAAATAAAAATGTCGGCAATTTGAAAATAAATTAATAGTAATTAAATATATATTGTTCACAGCGAACAAAAAATCTAAAATAGAAGATCACAAATTCTTCTATCAGATAATGTTGTCCACAATGTTTTCCTCGTATTATCTGAATTGCAAAAAATAAATAAAATATAAACATTATTTAAGGTAATACACATATAAATGGTTTTAACACCTATTAATTAAGGCCGTAACTGAAAACAAATTTTGTGAAAGTACATTTGTTTAATTTAAACACCAGTGCCGGCCCGATGGTTTTCGGGGCCCGGTGCAGAATTTCGCGGGGCCCCATATGACCAATGGCTGTATATGTTAATTTATTAATTATTATACAATATAGGTACACATTTATTTTATTTTTTAGGGACTTTTTTAAATTGCCTGTGAAAATAATATTACCTATCAGTATTGTTTTTAAAATTTAGATAGAATGACTTTAATGATTCTACATCTTCATATTTTTTTGTCATATAAAAATGTAAAATAATCCAAAACGTATACCTTTTCCATTAATTTATTGGAAATAGTACTTTTTGGGAAATGTTATGGAAATAGTTCATTTTGGAAAACCTAATAAAATATTAAAATATACTCCAAAATGTGCTTTTTCCAAAATAAAAATATTATTAATTTCTTATTCAATGTTTCAATATGAACAAACCGTTTATAAATAAAAAAGTAATTTTGAAGACAAGGAAGATTTTTTAAATTATTTAATAATATATTATTTCTATTAAAAACGACTCAAATGTGTTTAATAATCTAGGATTATATTTTTAATTTAATTTCAAACTTAATGATTGTGAATATTATAAATTATAAATTATATTTTAGTACGTTTTGGATTAACTATTTTATTTCGCTATACCTACAGGCTACAATACGGGCAGTAGTACGTTTTGACATAACATAAAAAAAAAGTACGTTTTGGAATAATTTACGAAAATAGTTCGTTTTGGTATAGTTAATGATTGGTGCCTATTATTTTAACATTGGCAATAGTACGTTTTGTC